GCCGGTGTCTGTGTTGCGGGTGAGTGTTGTGGTTAATGTTTGGCACACATTTTTCTGGTCATAATTCAAGTGGATTTTGGTAAGGTCATGGTCATGACTAATGCCACCATTCAACACAGAAGTGTTGTTATTTTCACTTAGCATTTCCGTAAAAATAATTATGAAAATGAAACTCGGCAGTCACGTACTCCTGCAGCACAAATATCAGCTTAGGACGAAATCGGTACTATAATGCCGCAGGATGAAATTGAAGAAAATTTTGTAATGGAATTTATTCCTTTGTTCATATTTTTTTTATGTTGCAAATTTTATGTATTTCGACTTTTGTTTTTGTTTTTTTTCTTGATTTTAATTTTTGGTTTTGATTTTTTTTTTTTTTACTTAAAGGAATTATGGTTACTTTGTAAGCAAAATTGTTAGAAAAGAATTCTTTAATAAATCAAATCAAAAGAATTTATGTGAAAAGGTATGGTGTGGGTATGGGTTACCAGGTTCCAATCGTGCTAAAGTTGTACTTATGTTAATGTTAAATAACAAGTATTCTCAATTGAGAATTATATATACTTGAAATAAAATATTATCTGCTTCAAAATCTATGTCCATATTATTTTAATATTTATTACATTTTATTATAATTATTATAATATTAATTATTAAAGAGGTTTTTCGAACAGCAGTGAACTACAATAACAAAAATTTATTTTATATTATTTTAATTAATTGAATTTTTGGGTGACCACATAGCTGTTTCGAGTATTGTCAAATACCCATCATCAGTGGTCTTGGAAATAATTATTGTATTTAATTATTCGTAAATAGCATGCTTTATATATTCTTTCTTATGTATAGAACCTAATCTAGGAATGTAATACTGAGAAAGTCATGCTAATGTTACTCAAAGCGTCGCACGGCGACATGATAGACTTTAACTTAGTTCAGATATAAATAAGACGAGATCTAACAACTTAATTTTGAATCCATCTGAAATAGCGTTTTCGATTGGTAAATTTGCCAAGAAAGTCTTACTATAATATATACTATAATATAATACTAATTCGGATTAATGATTTTAATTTTAAATTAGATAATCTATTAATTCTGTTTTATAAACCTAGTGTAACCATTTTTTCGATTGGTGAATCTAGAGCAAAATATATAACACTCTAAAAATAATTTCAGAGTAAAAAAACTACTCTGAAATTACTAACTATTTTTATTTGTTAGTGTAAATAAGCAGTGGTAACCAACCGGTCGTCCGCAAGATAATTAAAAATGGTCCGCGAATCAAATTTAACAGGTAAAAATACATAGCTTATAGTTTGTTCACTGAGACCTCACTTTTTAGAAAATAAGAGAAAAAATTACGTTGTTTTCAATAGGAATCAAAAAATGGAATGTAGCTTTCTAACGAGTGAAATTAAGATAATGTGGGCCGTGTTATAAGAGTCAAAAAAAATGTTGAATTTGTCCAAGAAGGTTGGACAGTGAACACCGGGTATCTCCTACAAAGATTCTACAATGTTTTACAACGATTGTAGTTTAGAATTCAATGAGTTCGACCGAAATATTTGGGATACATCTAAATATACAATATCAGCAGTTGGTGTTTATTGTATGATAATGCACTTTTGTAGAAAACTATCATGGTAAGGTAATTCTTATCCAAAAAAGGCAACATTATAGTCAGCGATTCACTGTATTGAACTGAAATTGAACTGAGGGAAAATCGTTTTGACTAACATACTGAAGGGAATTCTGACCTATGAGGCAGTGAATGGGTTAAGTTTAGAAGGCGCGTGCTGACAGTTGTCAGCATTTCCACTCGGAGGCATATATTGCCCATTGTGATGCCCTCAAATGAGTGACTATAAAAAATGTTTTAAAAAATTCCAACGTTTCCAATATTGTTTTGGCACTCGGAAAGATATTATTTTGAATAGACAATAGTTAAAAATTAAAACTAGTCTGATTGGATCTGAGACAGACTGTGAAATCATTAAATTTAATTTTAAATCTAAACAATATTATCAGTAAATATAAAATAAAAGCATTATCTGCAAACTGACTACACGTTTTTTCTTTATTGAATTTTTTACTTTTTTAAACTTAACTTTTAAGTGCTGTGAACTTATAATTTAAACTTTATAAACAAAAGAATATTTCTTATATTTCTCAACAGCTGCTGCTGATATCATGTTATGTGTCTGTCAATCATCAATATTCAACAATAAAGTGCAAAAACTTTGTCGTTAGAGTCAACAATATATCACAGACAAATTCGAAACTTTAATTAACGCATTTTTCATAAATACTCATAAGCACTTTTACAAAATGAATGGGAAAATAGATTATTTAAATATAAATTCAATTAGCAAAATAAATTAAATATTTTGCATAATCAAATGCATAAAACCATTTAAATAATTACTTGCATGCGCTTAATTAATTAAGCAGCAATCAATATGGGTTTGAGTAATTATGTTCAAAATGCTACTAAAGTGCGAAAAACAAACAATGTTAAAATAGCGCAACGGAAATAAACCCAAAAACGAAAAAAAAAAAAAATAAATATAAAATTTAATTTTTGTTTTAATTAAAATAAAATATTTACAAACAAAAAACTCAAGAGTTCTTCATTTGGATCAGAAATATAAATTCATACAAACCGAAAGATTCTTACTCTTGAAAAGCAGCTAAAAGAGTTCCGATTTAATTCCTATTCATTCTTAGAAAATTGTTTATTTAAATAAAATATGTTTTTAGATATTTTTTATTCATACATTTTTATTCTTACTCAAATAAATTATTACAATACCGGAGGCTGATAAAAAAATTCTTTGCAAATGAAATAATTCAACAAAAAAATTATTTCTTAATTACAGAAAACTTTTAAATTTAATTTTAACACAATCAAATTAAATATAAAAACGCTTTCTAGGCAAGTCCAATTATTACCAGCTTATTACTAACGATTAGATGCAGCCTCTGCAGTTTAGGAATCTTTAAAGAACGTATATATTAAGTTCCATGCAGGACTTTTGAATGACGACTTGGCCAGAGTAACTATTATTATTTGCCTTCAAAAAGAAATTAGTATATTTCCGAGGTAAGGTATACCTATCGTAAAAGGCGACTTAAGTCTGGTATAACTGGTAGCGAATAACGTTTTGCTGGCGATGGGATGAATACAGGTACAGGTACAGATACACTTTTATTGTTCTAGACACTTGGTTTGCTCCATAAAGGAGTGTCGTGGTGACAGATGTTAAAACCTACAGTTATGCAAGAAGAAGAGAAGAGTATACTTTTACTCAGTGTGAAATAGCATTTTTTCAATCGGGTGTTTTGAACCGTGTTAAATCCCACGGTAGCAAGTCATGCCTCCAAAGAGTGCATTTTCAAGGAAAATAGAAAGTAGCAACCCTTTCCTCTGTTTGATTGCAGCTATAACTGAAAATTTTGTGACGAATACCCATTATCACCGCTTACTCTGCAATGGGACCAAAGGAAGTAATTACTATTGTGAATCTTGAAAAGTTCCTTCTATTTGTATTTATCAGAGATAGTTTGCGGATAGAAAATTATATACCGACGGTGTTCTCATTATATTAACATTAAAAAATTATTTTTAATTAACTATCTTTTTTTTGTTTTATTTAGTATGACATTTACATATAATAAATATCGTATAGCATTTAGATATAGCAGAGATATAACAAAAAAAATCATTTGTCATAAAAGGAATTTCTTACTATCTATAAGATATAAACATCTTCAAACCTACTATCAATCTTATAATTTTCTTATTTACTTTAAATAATTTTATTTCACAATTTTATAGTTTTAAGTCCTTAGTTTTTACTTGTTTGAATACATTAAAATGCATCTAAATATTGTACGTAGCTTTGCAATTTACATAAAATTATCTAATTCCATTTATAAGACAGATAAATAACCTTTATACGAATAAAATTCAGCTGAATACTTTTGACGTCAACTATAAAGTAAACAATTTAGATAAATTATCTTTTTTCCACCCACTATAAATAATATAAACTTTCTAACAAAATGTTTTTCTTTTAAACATTTTCTACGTATAAATCTTTATTACACAAGTCATGTAAAAGTGACGTTCTACTTTTTTTTATAAAAATATATATAATAAATTTACACAGACGACGAATCCAAGTCAAAAATATCTTAAGTAAAATGTCAACGTGAAGAATCCCACTTGTGCTATTGTATATACGTAAAACCCGATTACAAACGAGCCTGATA